TAGAATAGATTCTAAAAATAGCATCAAAGTGTGCACATGATGGGGCACGGGGATTCCTTCTCTTAGTTCATATTCTCTTTATGTAGGGGTAGGCCAGCTATAGCTAAGCGCCTTTATGCGATAGTTCTTTTGTGCGTACGATAAAAACATGTATAACATGTTAATTATAATCGTAAATATAATTGATAAATATATTTAGAGAGGGTTACATTATAACCTCGTGCCCCTCTGTCTAGTTTAACGTCTGGATATCAGACGGGAGTGCTATACATTGTCATACAAGTCAAGGCGAAGAAGTGAATATTTAACAATGGCCTATGAGTCATTAGCACATAGGATATTKAACATAGTCAATAGGCTATTGACTCGCAGACCATGAGGGCAATAGGTCTACTCGTTAGTTAGGTTTTAGTCTAAACCTACTGAGCGGTGAAATAAATGGATTAAAAAAAAAAGCCGGTGAAAAAGGCGAATTAGACTCCAAAGTTCTKGTTTTGAAACCAGCTCTTTTCGTTACTAGCGGTCTATCACCAATAAACAAGCTCAGCCAATCAGAGCGCAGGATTTTTAATAGCTCGCTGTAGTAGTTTTAAACTAATTGCAGATATTTTTAGGTCAACCTTATTAGTATTGATAATTTTACTTGACTTAATTCGGAAATAAAAACTTCGTTGTGGTGCGAAGAGTTTCGATCGAAAGAATATCATTCCAGAAATAGCTTTGTAAGGTAAAAAATTATCTTAACTATCCCCACTAGTGTCCTTTTCCGAAAAAGGCAGGCTGTGAAAAAGTTTGTTTTCCACTACCTTTTTTGGGACCGAAAACATCTCCCCGCCCTCCAGCGGCCTTGCTTGCATAGGTACCATTAGGAGGCCTTATWTCTTCATAGTTTTGTCCTGTGGCAGACACAGCCCTTTGACCACCTTGTTCTTGGCCCTTGGAGCTTGATCTGTRAGATATATGGAAAAGGCAACGTTATAGTTGTATGATATCAAGAAGAACTGACTGGAAACGAATAGAAAAATAGATCAAAACAAGACCAAGAGTTTTGCGTGGACTTTTCACTCCAGAAACAAATGAATTTACAGATCAGTTTTGAGAGATTCTATTTCACGCAGGTACCTTGAGTACATCCGCCAGGTCCGTCCTAGCTAGCTACTAGCACTTGTAAAACTGCTGGCGCGTCGATCATGAACGGAATAAATCTTTCGTTCTGGCTCAAGATCTCACGATTGCCGATTGACCAGGCTAGATAAAATGAACATTTAATATATGTAGTTGTATAATACTATTGAGCTCAACAAATGCAGCCTGATCTTAACCGAATGAACGAAAAATCACTGGGAAATGGAGATGTTTGTGGCATCTTTTTCCCGTTCCGGTCTCGACCCAGTCCTCCCAAGATATTAAACTCGGAAATAGCAACGACTAACCACATTTCTACCTGTTTTCAATGATACTTTAACGATTTGAAGGGGACCTGTTAACTATTTGTTCTGATATTTTTTTGAAATTGCATTGCMCAACGAACTATGACCAATTTTCCAATTTGGCACGAAATCATTGATTTGACATTCTATTTCAAACGTCGAGCTGGCTACTGCAAGTTTTCTGTTGATTACTACGTAAAGCCTAGAAATGCCTCCCGCTCCACAAGAAAMAACTGCAAGATGGACCTTCTTGTTCCTCAACTTAGAACTAAACAATTCCAGAACTCATACTTCAATAGATTGCCCAGAATATGGAATCAACTGCCTGCCGACATCAAATCGTTAGATTCTGTTTCAAGTTTCAAGACTGCTCTTCATAACCGTTACTTTGCTGGTCTGTTGAACACTTACTGCATAGACACTTATAAGACATGGAAATCAATCTGCCCTAAATGCTGTACTACGAATGACATTACTAGCAAACCATTATGTTGCTACTGAACTTTACTTAGCATATCATTATGATATGTCTCAATACATCATATGATTCTATTCTCATATCTTTTTCTTATTTACATCAAGTTGATTATAAGTTCACTAATTTTYCAGTCATTATCATTATYATCACACTATCAACTATTATATCCGTCATCATAACATACGCCATTTGTAATATTATTCCACTTATTATGTGATCATATTGTGGCCGTACTTTATTTGGAGTCATGCTCTGTTGTACGGACCATACCACTAATTGTTTATGTGGTTAAAGCCTGATAAATAAAATAAATAAAATARATAAAAACAGACTTCCAGAATCTGAGACTGTTTTCCAGCTATTTGTTTGTGCTTATGTGACATAGCAACGGTAACTAAGGGGAGTCGGAAGCCAGCGTACGTGTACAATGACGAAATTTGGTTTGGTTGATTGTTATTTAAATGTTGTCAACCAGAAATCTATAGGACAATCCAACAAAGCAAAGTGACAAAACCTATTGTTAAAATGGACGTAGACAATAAAGCATCACAATAGCAATGTTTATATAAACAACAAATATACCCACCTATAAAAACCATTTCATAYATAAAAACCTGCATAGCAAGTTTTACTATGGGTTTTAAGAAATGCTTACCCTTACAGTAGCTTGCGGTTTGTTTGTTTCCATATAACTTTTAGTTGATCTACTGCCTTGACCATATACTTCCCTAACTTCTTCTTTTCTTTCAACTTGATTTTCGCAGCATCTATGATCTCTTCTGTCAAGGGTGGATGAGCAGTTTCGTTCCCTCTCTTTTTGACCGGTTTTAGCTGTCTTAACAAATATTCGTTCCACTTAGTTTCTTTCTTTAACTCTTTCCATCTTAACCTTGCTTCATTTTGTTCAACTCGGTCGTCGATTTGCGTTGAAATGTACTCTTCTATATCCTCAGTCCTTTTGTTCTGAATTTCTTCGAAATCTTCCTGCAGCACAATCCTCAAGAGGTTTTCCTGGACGCTTGAACAGAGTTGCCGAATAACCAATTCATCTTCARAAAGCTCAAACTTCTTGATTTTTTCATCTAAGTTTCCTAACTTTGTCTTCAACTCTCCGATTTCCGCCTTGGCTTCATTGGCTTCCTTTTTAAGGGATGTGTTGCTATTTTCTAATTTTCCCATTTTCATCGCCATCTTTTCTATTTCTTCTTCAAGTCTTGCTATTTCTTCTTTAAGTCTTTGTATTTCTTCTTCCAGATCATGGATTTTCGTTTGGGATTTTTCATCAGTTTCTTCCAGTTTTTCTTCTAATTTTCTTACCTTTTCTTCCAATTCAATTTTTATTCTTTCCTTTTTCTTGATATCGTCTTTCAGTCTTCCTACGTAACTAGTCTTACCTTTCTCGGCCATAACTAAAGCTGCCCTAAAGATAAATGTACGTAAGCAATAATGGTGTTAAAATAAAAAATAGGATTCACCTTGGCATTGTAATAAATGATACTTATTCGTTTGTCTCACATGAGGGTCATGATAACAATAATAATAATAATAATGATGATGATTTATTGAGGATCATTAGGAAAAAGTTATAATATTTTAAAAGGAT